TGTATTCTTTTTAACTACAGTCATCGTGATGTACAATCTGTGATCCAATTTGAGTTAATTTTTGTGTGTGGTGTGAGATAGGGGTCCAACTTCATTCTTTTGCATGTGGATATTCACTTGTGAACTCATTTTTTGAAAAAGACTGTTCTTCCCCACTGGTGTGGCCTACTTCTGTCCTACAAGACAAAACTCTTTTTCATCATCCCTCCCTTTGTCTTTTCTGCCCAAGCAGATGCTGAACTCCCTCAGTGGACACAAAATCTTTGTTTGTATGTGGTGCTGAGGATCGAACCTGGGCCGCACGCATGCCAGGAAAGCGCGCTACCGCTTGAGTCACATCCCCAGCCCACGCTCACGTTCTTTTCATGGAAGCCTGTTCCCTCTCTGGTTTTTCTTTAAAGCCATTATTGCTTCTATCCCAAGCCATCTTCCTAATGAGGCCAAACCTCTTACATATCCACCTATCTTTTCTTTGCAGCCCTTTTTACATTGCAATTTCATATCATATGCATTTGTCAGATTTCATTAATGCTGTGTATTTGGCTTTTAATTTATCTATGATAATTTTGACTTTCAGAATTTTTAAAATATACAGAAATATATAAATCTTTCCTTTTATGATTTCTGCATTTTTCCCTATGGGGCTGAGATTGTGGCTCAGTGACAGAGCACTTACCTCGCACATGTGAGGCAATGGGTTCAATCCTCAGTACCACTTAAAAATAAATAAATAAATAAAAGGCATTGTGTCCATCTACAACTTAAAAAAAATTTTAAAAAGTCCTTCCTCAATGCAAAAAATATAGAAATATTGACCTATTTTCCTTTAATCTTTTCATATGTATATTATTTGCATAATATCTTTAATCCACCTGTAATTTATTTGGGCATGTGTTATAAGTTAGAAAAATAACTTTATTTACTTCCCAATGGTTAGCCATATTCCCAATCTTTTCCATCCTTTCTTGTTGAATTGACTCATTGATTGCACACCAAATCCTTTTACATGTTAAGTAAATGATTTGTCTATTTCTTCACTAGTCATATTTGGCACTGTTTTTTAAAATTTATTCATTCATTCATTCATTCATTCTAATTTGTTCCATAGGACAGCAGAATGTATTTCAATTCATAGTACACATATAGAGCATAATTTTTCATGTCTGTTTGTACACAAAGCAAAGTCACATATTCGGGTCTTCATACATGTACTTAGGGTAATAATATCCATCTAATTCTGACGTTTTTCCTACCCCTCTGTCCCCTCCCTCTTCCTCTCTCCCCTTTGCCCTATCTGAAGTTTCCTCCCATGCCCCCTGACCCTGTCCCCATTATGGATCAGCATCCTCATATCAGAGAAAACATTTGGCATTTGGTATTTTGGGATTGGCTTACTTCACTTAGCATAATATTCTCAACTCTATCCATTTACTTGCAAATGCCATGATTTTATTCTCTTTTAATGCTGAGTAATATTCCACTATGTATATATACCACAGTTTCTTTATCCATCCATCAATTGAAGGGCATCTGGGTTGGTTCCACAATGTAGCTATTGTGAATTGTGCTGCTATAAACATTGATGTGGCTGCATCACTATAGTATGCTGTTTTTAAGTCCTTTGGTTATAAACCAAGGAGAATAGCTGGGTCAAATAGTGGTTCCACTCCAAGTTTTCTAAGGAATCTCCATACTGCTTTCCAGGATTGGCTGCACCAATTTGCAGTCCCACCAGCAATGTATGAGTGTGCCTTTTCCCCCACATCCTCACCAACACTTATTGTTGTTTGTATCCTTAATAGCTGCCATTCTGACTAGAGTGAGATGAAATCTTAGAGTAGTTTTGATTTGCATTTCTCTGATTGCTAGAGATGATGAACATTTTTTCATATATTTGTTGATTGATTGTATATCCTCTTCTGAGAAGTGTCTTTTCAGGTCCCTGGCCCGTTTATTGATTGGGTAATTTGTTGTTGTTGTTGTTAAGATTTTTGAGTTCTTTATATATCCTAGAGAGTGCTGTATCTGATGTGCATGTGGTAAAAATTTGCTCCCATTCTGTAGGCTCTCTATTCACTTCACTGATTGTTTCTTTTGCTGAGAAGAAGCTTTTCAGTTTGAATCCATCCCATTTATTGATTCTTGATTTTATTTCTTGTGCTATAGGAGTCTTATTAAGGAAGTAGGGGCCTGATCTGACATGATGAAGATTTGGGCCTACTTTTTCTTCTATTAGGCACAGGGTCTCTGGTTTAATTCCTAGGTCCTTGATCCACTTGGAGTTGAGTTTTCTTGGTACTGTTTTTAATTACTATAGCTTTATGCTATATTTTAATATTTTAATTCAAATTATTAAAGTATTATTTCAAAGTAAGTTTGAAATATACATTAATAACTTGAATTAAGGTTTATTAGACAAAGAATTATTTCTTAGCAGAAATGTATAGTAATAAATCAGAGCAGAGATCATTGCCGAGAGCACTTCAGTGAGCACATGATTGATGTTATGACACAAAGCAGTGGGCTCTGCTCTTGGAATTTCTGATTCAGTAATCAGGGTTGGGGCCCAAGTATTCACATTCCTAACAAGTTCTCAGATGCTGCTGATCCAGGAACCACATCTTGAGACCCTCTACCTTTCAGATAGTACTTGAAACAAAGAATACGGCCAACCTGAGAATGGTCCAGATACACCTTCTGAATGCCCTGGTGTGCTCTCATGGCTAGGAACCTACCTGGTGTGCTTTCTGTGGACATCTTCCTGGTGGTGTCTTTGGCCTTACACTTGTCTCTACTGCAAAGCCCTCATTCAGCTGAGTCAGCCACATAGGCTTCCTTTCAATGAACCCTTGAGGTGCTGGGCATGACCCCATGGCTACCTGCTGGTCACAGGTGCCAATACAGCCAGGCTTTGGTCTAAACCAGAGAAAGGTAAGGACCCAATGACTCTCTTTGTTGTAGGTTCTTCTTATAAAAGAGCTATTGCTGGAAAAGCAGCAGCTGAGTGCTTTCCCTTCCCCACCTCTGTGGCTATTTAATGGCTCCTTGGTTCACACAAAGGGAGAGCTAATTACTAACACCTGCTCCTGCTATCCTGCAAGTGGCCAGCTCCCTAGTGGACAGCCCAGCGCCTCCCTGACAAGGACTTTTCCCACCTATTCCACACAATGTAAGCATATTTAAAGAAAAAACAGTTTGTACAGTTTCAATGTATAGTATATACCCCTGTGAAGAAGGCTACACTTCCTTCATCCTTCACGAAGGGATGGACATTCTTTATGAAAAGTTAAATAGCCTCAGAGAAGAAAATCTGCTGTGGGTTTACTCTTCTTTGTTAGTAAAACAAAGTGCATTATTATATTTTACATGGCGTAGGTGGCTTTAGACTTCAGATATTCGTTTTCCTTATTTTTTTTTTTTTTACTTTCCCCCCATTCACTTATATTTTCCCTACCTCAGTCACCCAAAAGTTAAAGTGGAAATTATTTGCATTTCCTTGAAAGATATACCTTCTGGGAATTTTTCTTCTCCCTTGTTCCCTCCCTGGTTTTTAAGATGCACCATTAGAACACCTCTCCTCCCATCAGAAGCAGAGGAGTTTCCTGTCAGACCCCACTTTGGCACACATTTCCCCTACTCAGCACAAACTGAGTGAGATGGACTATATTGCTGAGTCTGGGGACACAGAGAAAGGCATGTCTTATGTCATTGAGGGCTCACTCTATATATTGATGATTGTATCGATCTGCAATATTACAGATTTCATCAATATATAGAGATCTCTTCTACAAGAAGAAATGGCTAACATTAGTTAGCAATTACAATGTGCCCTGATAGGTCTTCACTGGAAGTAATCAGAGGATGGCTGGGGACTGAGGCCAAGGCACTGCCCTCCGCTGGGTAGGGAGCCTGAAAAGGTAACACTTAAGTATATAATTTGGAGAAAATTGTGAGAAGAAGGTGAGTTTAAATGATGGAATTAATAAATAAGTGGGACAAGAGGGAAAAACATTCCATACTGATACATTTTGATTACTATTATTTTATTTATTTTTTCAATAGGAATACATTCACATTTGACAGTTCAGTATGAAAGAGCATACAGAAGGGCTATCCAATAAAAATCTTTGTGATTTACATTTTTTCTAATAACTATATTGAAAAAATGATTTTAGTACTGTATTTGAACCAAGATATTCAAAATATTGTTTGACTATCAACCAGCATAAAACACATTAATGAGACCTTCAAATTGATACAAAGTGTATTTTAAAACTACACTATATTGCGAGTATGAATGGCCACGTTTTTTTTTGTTGTTGTTGTTTGTTTGTTTTGTTTTGTTTTGTTTAGAGAGAGAGAGAATTTTTTAATATTTTTTTTTTAGTTTTTGGCGGACACGACATCTTTGTTTTTGTATGTGGTGCTGAGAATCGAACCTGGGCCGCACGCATACCAGGCAAGCGCGCTACTGCTTGAGCTGCATCCCCAGCCCCAATATGGCCACGTTTCAAGTGTTCAGTAGTCATATGTGTCTATCGCCACCATATGAAACAGCCCAGATACATAGTAGTAAATTTCCCTCTTGTGTCTGCCTTGAAACTACTCACTTTCCCTCCCTACAGGTAGCCATTATTGATGGCCTCAAGTGTGTTTTTCTACAGAGTTGATACATATACAAACAATTCGAAACATGCACCCACAAATAACAATATATACTCATACTGTTGTGCAACTTTTTTTTTCACTTAATAAGTCTTGGATATGTTTCCTATCATTACACTGGAAGCAATCTCTCTCTCATATCTCTCTCTCTCTCTCTCTCTCTCTCTCTCTCTCTCTATATATATATATATATATATATATATATATATATATATATATTAGATTGATACAATACCTTTATTTTATTTATTTTTTTATGTAGTGCCAGGGATCGAACCCAGTGCCTCAAGTATATTAGGCAAGCATTCTACCACTAAGCCACAACCCTGGCCCCTTTTCTTCTTTCTTTTTAAGTGTTGCAAAGTATCTCATTTTATAGATGTCACAAATTAGTCCTTACCAATGAATGTTTAAGTGGTTTCCAATAATTGGTGCTTATAAACAGTTTGAGCTGAGTTTTCAGAGGCAAAGAGCAACCAGCTCTAACTCAGCAAGTTTGAGAGAATGACACTTTACAGGAAGAGGCTAGTGTGAGAGGAGACATGGAGCATGAGGACATGGACATTTAGGGTGAATTCTTGAGGCTCAAAATGGCTGTGTGTGAACAGAAGACAGGGACAGTAAGCTGGATGAGCAGGAGGAGACCACATTGCAGTCTTATACTCCCACGCTTAATGTGACAATTATAAATGATGGAACTAATAAATTAATGGGAAAGGAGGGACAAATCTTCCATTCTTATGAATTCTGATTAATAAATATAGAAAGCATGAGGGAAACAGAAAACCACTATTAGAACACTATAGTAATAATTGCCACAGGCAAGATCTACAGATAAGTATTAAAATGTTCATAAAATTAGCTAATATTATTGTAATAATATTAACTTCTTGGCTTTTATAAATATGTCATAGTTATTTGAGATGTTAATATTGGAAGAGATTGCTTGAAAATACTGACGCTCTGTGCTATCTTCCCAACTACTCTGTAAATACATAATTATTTCAGAATAAAAAGATATAACAAATTAGAAGAGTTACATGATTGACTCACTTTTGAGAAGAATCTCAATGGTTGTGTTGGGAAAGGAGGCTGGAAAGAGAAAAGACCAGAACAAGGAGATTGCTGCAGATGAGAGGAGATCTCTTCTTAAGAAGAAATGGTAGAAGACAGGATGGGAGCGAGGGCAGAAGGAATCTGGAGAGACTCTAGAAGGAAGTGTAAAAAGGCCTGGCGATGATTTGGGTGAGGAAGTTAGGAGGTAGAAGGACCAGGATAATAGCCTGGTTTCAGCCTCTGGGAGTCGGGCAATGATGTTATTTATGGAGGTGGAGGGAATGGCAGAAAGAACAGGTTTCAGGGAAAGGCAAGCTCTGATTTAGACCCATTGAATTTGGAGTACATTTGAGAGATCCTCATATCCACTAGGTACCTGGGTCTGTGGGCCTGCATGTCAGAATCATGGGTATATAAAGGGTGGATAAGGACAGTGAAATGATGAGATGGCCCAAGGAAGGTGGACAGAGGAAAAAGAGGGCCTAGCACACAGGCATTTAGGAATTTGGCCTAGGAGGTGACAAGGAGAATGGAGAGAGTCCAGAAAAATGGTGGCATTGCAATGCTGACATGCAGAGATTAACTCTGGGGCAGGCTGCTTGGGGCAGAACATTGACTCTGCCATTTATTACTCATTGTGTGACGTGGGGCAAGTTATTTAGTCCAATAAGTTTGTTATCAGTGTTTTAGGAGATACTATCTGAAAAGTTCTTGTAATAATGCTAGGATTATAGTGCTCTATACTGTCCATGGTCCAGTTGTGCTAGGCCAGTGGGATAGGTTGCTGAGAGACCAAAGGAGACGCCAAGAGATGAAATGTGGTACATAAGGTCTATTGAAAAATGCTTATGGGGACAGTCTAGTGACAACAGGCTGGAGAGGTGCTTTTACAGGAAGACCGGTGGCAATGGCTTGGACAGGTGCACCTCTAGTTTACATGGTGGCTCTGGTGCTTCACCAGAAAATAGTGCCTCCCATACCTCACCACTCTATCCAGTGGCAACCAGCTGTGTACATCCAGTCAAAGTGTTCTGTTTCATGCCAGTTATCACAGGAAGAGGGATTTTATAAGGTGGGCCAAAGAAGCAGTGGAAATACTGGTTTACCTTGCTTTGTCCCCATATGACCAGCATCCCAAGTACAAAGCTGCATATGAGAAAGCAGCTTCCAACAGATGACACTAACTTGCCCTAATTCCCAGCATACATGATAGAAAGTCAGCATCCTTCTAGAAAACATTTATTTGGATATTATGACCCAGGCTTGATCCCATTGTTCCCTTAACTTGGCTGGGTCCTTGGGATGGAGAGGAGAACTTGAGAGACATAGTATTTTTACTATCTTCCTTTCCTTCCAAGGATAAAACATGATCAAAGAATGTTGGCTAATCAGAGGCAATAGAAAACTAGAGTGATTTCCAGGAAACTATGGGAACACAGTGGTTCAAAAAGGAGAACATATATTTCATACCCACTAAGATGGCTAATATCAAAACATGGAAAATAATAAGTGTTGACAAGCTTGTAGAGAAATTGAATGTTTGTGTATTGCTGGTAGGACTGTCAAATAGTGCCACTACTGTATAAAACAATTTGGTGGTTCCTCAAAAAGTTAAGTATAGAACTATTAGATGATCCAGCATATATATACAAAAGAACTGAAAGCTTTAACTCAGACAGATACATATACACCCGTGTTCAGAGCAGGATTATTCATGGTAGCCAAAAAGGTAGAAACAATACAAGCATCCATCAGCAGATCTGTGGATAAACAAATGTGATGTGTCCATACAATGGAATATTTATTTTTATAATATTTTCATTTAATCTTAAAAAGGACTGAGGTTTTGATGTACACTCCAGCATAGACCAACCTTGAAAATATTGTACTAAGTGAAATAAGTCAAACCAAAAAAGACAATGAATGTATGATTCCACATATGTGAAATACTGACCAGGCAAACTCAGAGAGAAAGAAAGAAGATTAAAGGTCGGTAGATGCCAAGGACTGTGGGAAGTAGAGAGGTAATGTTTAATAAGTACAAAGTTTCTGCTTGAAATGATGAAATAAATAGTGGTAATGGTTGCACAACATTGTACTTAATGCCACAGATTTGTATGCTTAATAATGTTTAAAATGGTAACTTTTAGGTTGCATATATTTTACCACAATATTTTTTAAAAGGAGAGCATGCTAATGCTGCAGAGAAGTCAAATAACATAAAAGCTGAAAATCTATCCTTTGTATTTTGTGACCAAAGGGGCTATTGATGACACTTTCAGAGTCCTTGTAGTGGAGCAGAGATGTCAAAGGTCAGATTGCAATGGACTAAAGGTGATTGGCAAGTGTCTAGACCAGAGGTTGGTTAACTACAACCAAATCTGGTCTGCTACCTTCTTTATAACTAAAGTTTTATTGGAATGCAACCATATATGGTTGCTTATGTGCTGTGATGGTGGAGTTGAGTAGTAACCATGGAAACCATATGGTCTGCATAACTGAAAATCCTTACTGTCCAGTCCTTTATAGAAAGATTCCTAACCATTGGCTAAGAAACACCCTGGTCTTTCAAAAACTTTAATTTTCTTAAATAATTCCTTCATTTCTGGGAAGCTACTGAGTCAACAGCAGTGCCTCTTTGGTTAGGTAGCAGAATGGACCCAGTTCTTTTTAATAATAATGAATAAGGAGGAAGAAGAGGGGAGGAGGGTACATTTCTTCCTTCCTCCCCCTTCACCATACCTCTGCCTCTCACAGACCTGGAAAAAGGGATTGTGAGTCCCCCTCACCCAGCTGCCTCCCCAGGACCCCAGAAAAACTCCTCACCAGTAAATCATCATGTTACTGGTGATAATAAACTCTGAGATGACTGAAAACTGCAGTTAGGTTTAAAGTTTTCTCATTAATTTAGGGAAATTCCCATAACCTGAGGCTTTTCAAGTGTTTGTTAATCTACTTTCTGGGACTGAGTGCCACTACTTACTTCAGATCAAAGAGAAAAGCCCGTGTCTTTAGCACTTACTTTGTGCCGTGAACAATGCCAATTTTGTGCCTAAGTGATCTCTTGGTAAATCATCCTGACCGTTGGAGGGTATTTCCTCACTTCACAGAATGAGTGGCTGGGGTTCACTCGGGTGTCTCAGAGACCAGAGACCCACAGGGAGTTAGAAGAACTGGAGTTTGAAATGAACCTGTCTGATTCTAGGACCCTTGTTTCCACTGCTCCATGTAGTCACTCTGTCCCCTGAGGACACCAACAACCTCAGAATGGTTCCATATGCCCATTCTAGGCAGAATCCAATACTTGCTTAGTGTTCACTTTGAACACTATCCTTGCTATGGCCTTGAATCAGAGTTGACCCTGAACTATGTCTCAAGTAGACCTGTGTCAGCTTTAGCAAGGCCTGTTCTGCAGCCTGCTCCCCACACTCCTCCTGTCCCCAGCCACCATTTTTATGGTTATTCTGAGCCAACTAAGTGGTAGCTCTTTTATTTCTTTAAAGCCATCTGCATTTCCATGCATTCTGCTAGCCTTACCTCATACCTGGGAGTCACTTGTTCCTACCTTACCACTTATTTTTACATTACAGGCAACAGTAATTAGGCACAGTGGCCCAGGAATGCAGCAAGAGGAAGATATGGTGGATTCCCCAGCTCTGGTCCATTCACATCCATATGATTGGTGCACAAACACACAGCACCCTGGTGACTTCTTTTCCCTTGAAGGCTGCCCTTCATAATGCATAACTAAGACTGCCTAGGTCTCTGTCACCATCAATCCAGAATTAGGGAATTCATCCACCCACCCTTGACCATATTAGTGAGAATAAGCAACTGTACCCAGAGAGGGATGGCAACTGGCCCAGTACACACAGCTCTTGTCAGCACCAGATCCTGGACTAGGAAGGCCCCAGCCTCCCAGCTCCCAGCCTGGAGCTCATCCTGCTGCAGTTCGCTGCCTCCTGCCTACCTCGATTGATGAGGCAGGGGCTGTCCCCCTGCATGTGAAGTGCTTACCTTGGAGCTCTTTTTATGAATGAGACCAGATGCAGACCTCCACATTGATCATTTCTGTCCCTCCCCTTTCTGCTTTCTGTTAAAGGCAGCCCCCCAGCTCCCAGCTGGCTCCTGTCCCCTCCCCCAGCCGGGAGAAGTTATTACATGAAGAGATCAGCTTACCAGTTTTCTTCAGAGCAGAGGCTGAGCTCGGAGCGCCGGGTAGTACAGTGAGGGAGAGCCGAGGGAACCAGCGCGGTGCCTAGCGGAACTCCAGGGCTGGAATCCCGAGACACAAGTGCATCTGCTAGCTGTTAGCACTTGGCAGACGGAGTTCTCCTCTAGGGTAGCTCTAACTTTGGGTAATAATGTTTGTCAGCTACCTGATATTAACATTGCTCCACGTTCAAACAGCAATGTTAGCAAGACCTGGGGGAGAGGTAAGCCAAATAAAATATCTTGTCAGAAGTTATACTTTTGTCAGCATTAAATTTCATCTTCTATCTACCAACAGGGATCAGGCAATGGGTTTTTATGGTGTGCAGAGAATAATGCTTGCTATTGCTTTTTTAGGCTTCTCTTGCCTTTTCTTATATGAAGACTTCTTTTCTTCTTGAAGAATCCTGTACTTTCTAAAATTTCATTCTGAGCCTGTCTGTATAGTTGCCACACTGGGGAGCTGGCCTGGGTGACAGATGCTGTTGCAGAACAAAATATGTGGTATGTCAGATTCCAGTAGGGACTGGTACAAAAGCAGGAAAGGAAATTCCCTTTGGGGAAATTTTCTCCAGTGCTGCAGAGAGAATATGCATGCAAGAGGGATTGGTCTTTCTTTCCTGCTTCTACACCACATTTTTTCTCCTATTTTGCTTTGATGTGCTTGGAGGACCTGTGCATAACTTTCTATCGTAGGTTTGAAGAGGGACAGTGATGTCCAGTGGGGCTAGGAGTGTGCTCAGATCTACCATAGAGAGAGGCATGTTTTAAGGCCAAGAAGATGATTTACTCTTATTGGTTTAGCTCATGTGTTTACTGGTTACATTTTTTTTTAACATTCCTGAGACCTCTGGGAGCCAGTTTCTGATACAGGCAGAGAACTGGAAGGGTTGATCCTCAGCCCAGAGAGAAAGCACTCAGTGCTTCACCTGCAAATAAGCCTGTGACCAGTTTACCTCCTCCACTCCTGTCACTCCTTGCCTTGATGGAAAAGCTCAGAGACCGATGCCTGAGTATGAAGGGACAGCCTTTCTCCCAAATCTGTCTTCCTCTTTGAAAAGCCAAGTGAAAAGTGTATCTCTTAGAAAAGGCCACGAGGCCACTTCACAGCTTCGCCTTTTGTTAGCCTTGTCAGGGACCAAGCTGGCTCTGAAAGCCTAATGTGATTACTTTCCCTTTTCTGAGAGGTCTGGAAGTGAGAGCAGTCCCCAGCCTGGCTGCAGAGCCAGCTGTGGTTTCAGCAGGCTTGTTGCTCTGTTCAAAATAGATGTGCGGCTCTGAGGCGTGCAGCAACGGGTCATTTGTTGTAGGCTTTTCACCTGCTAGTTACCCATGTCCTCTGCTCTCCAGATACAGGCTGGGTCTGTGGGGGGATTGAGCTTTTGAATGGGAACTGGAGGAACTGAATGGATTAGTGATGCTGGAAGCTGAAAGCAGACCATTGCCCTCTAGTTGTAGCTAAGGTTCGCAACTTCCCTGTTGATTTTTTACTGTGTAGAGTAAATGACAAATGGGCTGGCCTAACTCAGCCCTGAGCACTTAAGCAGGCGAGGGGAAAGCTCATATGGAAAATATTTCTATCACCGTTGCCTGCACATATGGTCAAGGGAGACCCCCTTACTGAGCAAATCACTGTGTTCCAGCAGCCCCTCAGTGGCGTGCCAATTACTCTTATTAACAGCAAGGCCAAGGGCTGCTTCAGTTACCTGCCCGCAGCTGGTTCCTGGGGAGGGCCACTCTGGAATGTGAGTCCCTGAGCCTTGTGTCACATGTGAGAGGCAGCCGGCTCTGTTTCACCTTACAATCACTAAAGCAGAGGAATAATGAAAGGGGATTACACAGGCTCACCCTGATCTTGATGTTGGTCAGACAGCACTCAACACTCACTCAGGAGAGGATTGCAAAGCTTCTGTCTTTTGAGTTAAAAGTGTGTGTGTTCAACAGTCAGAAAACCCTAGCAGGGGTGGGGAGATGCCTGCCCTTCTGCCCCTTGGTTCTGTGCTAACAGCTCTGTGAAATAAAGATCTTCCAGTACCTCCTCCTCTTTTCTTTCCCCCGTGTGCAAGAGTGTGTGTGTGTGTGTGTGTGTGTGGGTGTGTACGCATATATGACTGTGTGTGTATTTCTGTGCTGTTGGCTCCACAACTCCTGTGTTCCTAGGAAATTGTACTTTTAGGATTCCTTTCTCATTGTTGGAAATGAAATGAGGAGAAGGAACATGAGTATGCATAAGCCCCCCTACCTCCTTAAAAAGAATGTCGTTTATACAGAGCTTTGAAGAATGTGGCATTTATTTATAAGAGCCTCTTTTTTTTATTACCGTGTTACTTACAAAACTTACCCATAAACATGTGGCGTCGTCACCAAGGTTTTCTTTTTCTCTGCCAGCCAGATTTCTTGCAGGTTTTAATTATCTTCCCTCTGGACGTTCCTAAAACCACAGGAGGAGAGGAAGAAAGGGGAAGAAGGTGTCGTCCACCTTGGGCTGCTTGGCTGGCTGTGCTCTCAGACTGGGGCTGGCAGCCAAGCAGCAAATCCTGGGAACAATTCACAGTCCATTTTCTAAGGTGCACCGTTCTTCCAGATAAGTGGGGGCCTGCAGGTGCAGGGAGGGGTGCGTGATGCAGGGCAAGCCTTGTTCGACATCCGATGGCTGGCACCATCATAAGGACAGGACAACCTGGTATAGCTTTAGTCCCTGATTTCCTTAAACTAAGAACACTGAGGTCAATATAATGCCTTTGCCCTTGACAAGGTCAGGGTGGCAAATACTTGTACAGTCTGGATGTATCCTTTAAAACTGTGAAGGAATGGTTAGTCAGGCCGGACTTGCAGTGAACTTGTGAGTGTGAGACTTGTCAGGACCCAGTTTCTGTGCAGCATGCCCAAAATAATGGGGGCGAGGGGTGGAAGACTTGCCTTTTCTTTTCTGGACTTTGTCATATAAGACCAGTGAGATATTGTTATATGGAGGGAGAGGGAAAGAGAGGCAAGTGGAAACTTATTCAGATCTATATATTATATAAAATCAATTCCCAGAAGTTGGTCAAAAGGATTTTTAAAAAAATTTTGATGGAGCAATATGGCAAAACCTATCGAAATTAAAAATAAGTATCCTGGCTGCTAATGGATACAGGATTTCTTTTTGTGGTGATGAAGATGTTTTGGAATTAGATAGTAGAGATTCTTGCACAATTTTGTGGCTATACTAAAAATCACAGAAATTGTATCCTGTTTTGTTTTGGTTTGGTTTGGGGTTTTTTAGTATGTTTGTTTGTTTTGTTTTGTTTTGTGATGGGTTTGAACCAGGGCCCTGCTTTCTACCACTGAGCTACACCTCCACTCCAAATTGCATACTTTAAAGAGCGCATATTATAAGATGTGAATTATATCTCCATTTGTAAGATTAAAAGTCAAAAGTAAATATATTTTTAATTCAATATTTGTTGTTAGGTAAGAAAAACAAGTGGTAGAACAACATGTTTAAAATGCAGCCATTACACAAAATGTGTTCACGTGTTTGTCCAGCCTCTGAGAAAGGATATGAAAGACAGAGAGGGCCATTGGGTGGCTGGGGCAGGAGAGCAGGTGTTGGCAACCAGAGAAGCTTCTAAGAGACTCAGGGCCTGGGGTCTTTATTAGGACTGACCACATAGGCACCCTCTGCCTGCTATATGCCAAATTTCCAGACACCCAGAAGGAAAACAGGTGTTCAGCATAAACCATTTGTACAGTGTAGGCACAGAGAGCTGCTCCTAGCAGTTCCAGGAATGGCAGGACCCTCCCCAAATCCATGTTCCCAGATGCCAGCCAAGGGCCAACCTTGGAAGCAGATCTTCTGAAGGGGAACAGTCAGGACAGCTGGGTTAGCTTATTTCTGATGGGTGGGTGCGCATTCTAAGTGTAGCAGGGGGAGGGAGGACATTCCAGGCAGAGGGAAACATCCGTAGAACCCTAGAAATAAGAAAGAACCTGGTGTGTTCTGGAATGAAGGCATAGCTGGGAAGCATGCAGTGGGAGGGACCCATTCCATCTGTCCGTCAGCGGGTCTCTTGAGTGGAGGTTCTCTGTGGCTTTGAAAGTTGGAGGCAGTCTATATCTAGTCTCAAATAATCTGTTTAGGATGTGTCCTTTGGGTCACCACTTTAAGACATTTTCTTGTCACCGATAAGGAATAAGTCAAATTAAATTATGAATGTAGAGTTGCTTCCTAAGCTAGGGATCCCTCTTCGTCCCTGGAGTATTATTTTCAAGTAGAAATGAAGGACCAGCGTAATGCCCTTAATGACTGATTCTTGGTGGGCAATTCTCAGTGGCTCCACCTTTCTTTCGCTTTCTGATTTCTAAAATACAAAACCCACTATGTGGAACTAACTTGATAACTCATGGCCTGAGTCTAAGCCTTGAATCTAACTGTTGATGTTTAAATCCTTTTTTTTTTAATTTATGAAAGCTGTCATTTTAAAAACAACTACAAACAATAAACTATAAAAGAATAAAAGTTCAAGTTTCCTCTTTACCTTCACTCCTTCTGCTCCTTCTTCCCTCTCCAGATGAAGCCATGGTTCACAGTTTGGCACCTCCTAGAACCATCCCTACACATTTATAAACACAAGGCCATGGGTTTAATGTGTTGCCTATGAGTTTGTGTGTATGCGTACAACCTTCAAACTGGCAAGCCTTTTTCTTCTTCTCTGATACCTGTGCCTCTTATTTCTTGTCCCTTGTCATATTGCTGGGCTTTCCAAAAGGCAGTGTTGAATCAGAGCAAAGACAGCCAACATTCACAACTCCTTCCAGACTTACATGGGAATGACTCTAAAATTCCATCACTGAGAGTGATGCTGGCCAGATATTTTAGGTAGATGAATTTTATTCCTGATATAAGTTCCTTTCTGAGTTTTGATCAGGAATCTTTGTTGAATTTTATCTGACATTGTTTGCCTCAATCAAAATGTCTACCAGTGTTCTCCTTTAATCTAGCTAATGGTGGTTTTTATATTAGAGATTTCTTCATGTTGGATTGTTTTTGCTGACTTGGACTTAATTATCCTTATCCTGGTGATTTATTCATTAAATTTGCCACTGGATTTGATTTACAAATATTTCATTTTCAGTTTTTTTTCCTTTGTAAATAGGTATTATTGGTTTGTGGCTCTTTTATTGTACTAGACCAAAGTTTTAATAGTTTTGTAAAATAAACTCAAAAGCCTCATCTCTGAGT